ATTATAAATAATCAAACATAGGTCTTTGACTCTCTTTCACTAATCCAAGTCGATTGATATTCTTCAAACATAATTTTAATGGAATTTATGTTAAATCGGAACAATAATGACTTTTGGTGTTCTCTTTGACTATTTAAATATAAAATGGAAAGAGTTCATGGGATTCTTAAGCAAGCTCAAAAAAGGCTTCATGAAATGGTGTTTTCAGACATTTCTATGTGTCCAATTTTATGTTGTAAGATTGTAGGACAACTTATAATCATAATTTCCAAACACCCAACATTTTTCACACAGTTCTGTTTTCTTTTAATTACAACCTCAGACCAAAACAATACATTCCCAACTATCAAAACTTAAGGACAGCTGTTTTCTAAATAATGGTGGGAAATGGATGATTTTGCAGTTTGTAATATTCGAATCAAAATTGATTGTATAAATTTACAGATTTAAAGTTTGAGTGTTGGTTTATTAGGCTTCAATTCAAAGAAAAAAAAAAAGATTGTATATCCTGAAAATGGAACTTTACATCTATTAGATGTCATCTCAAAACTAACTTTTAAATTGAATTTATATTTTATAAAGAAAAATAACTTCATATTAATTAACAGAAAACACTATTTGATACAAATATTGTTTAAAATATAATTTGTACACTTAGCCCTAGTCTGTCCTCTGATTTTTTATTAACCTAAAAATGATTATAAAATAATATTTATTCTAAGTATTTTTAACAATTTGACAATGAACGCTATCACCCTTGTAATTGTTGGTGCTCGAACTCATGACCTCTAGGAACATTAACGATTTATTTAACCACTGAAATAATTTGGTTTGTGATACCTTTGAAAATTTTAAATTATAATATATTTTAAATATTTTTTATATTCCTATTGATTATTTTGACCCCTAAAATCTTATAAGTTTGTCACTCAAATAAAATCTTGTGTTTATCCATATGCACAATACTATCTATTTTAAGGTTAAACTCCAATATTTTCAGCAACAAAGGAAGTTAAACTCTAAAATTTAAACTTACATCTTAAACACTAAATTATAACTCATAACCCATAAATTATAAGCCTTAAGTTACATCTTAAACACTAAATTATAACTCATAACCCATAAATTATAAAACTTAAGTTATAAAATCATAAATCTTAAATAAAATAAATTGTATTAAAATAAATAAAATTATATAAACTAAATATCAAATTTATATTTGATTATTTGTTTGATATTATAAAAACTAAATTTCAAAGTTATATTTGATTATTTGTTTGGTTTCATCATCTTTGTTGTTGTGTTAACCTTTTCTAGAAAACCCATGCAAGGTTTAGGTACCTACCACATGGGTCATATTGCCCTACAAGTTGTCAATTATTTTGGTGGTTAAAGCCTCAACAAACAATCAAAATTCATGGGTTCTTTCAAGAAAACAATGCACCCTTAAACAAAATCATTCATACAAGTTTGCTAGCTGTTGCTAATGACATTTCACTCTTTATGATCCATCATCAAAACTAAAAAAAAAATGGATGAGACTGATAGAATAAGAAATTATTATGGGTAAAATACACAAATGGTCCGTCGACTGTAGAGTCTTTCTTTGTTGAGTCTCATAACTATTAAAAATTATGAAACAATCCTTTGACTATGGGACATTATTTTGTTAAGTGTCTTAATTACTAAAAGTTATAAAATGGTCCTTTGACTATATGACATTATTTTGTTGAGTCCATTGATTATTAAAAGTTACAAAATAGGCACTTGATTCATATGTTCCAAACTTGTCATTTTCTGTTAAAAATTTAACTGCAGTCTAAGTGGACGTTAACTTACTGCATGTGATATGATAAATTTTGATCTCAAGATCTCAAACGATTATCATATCTCAATCAAAATGTTAACGACCATCTCAGGTTGTTATCAATTTTTTAACGAAAAAATGAGATGTTTGGAACATATGAATAGTCAACTGACTATTTTGTAGCTTTTAATAATCGAAGAACTCAACAAAACAACGTCCTATATTTAAAAGATTATTTTATAATTTTAAAAATGAGAAAACTCACTCGATATCATTATATATTTGAAAGACTCACTACAGCAAAAGTGTTCTGTAGTGGCATTTTTAGCGACGTTTAAATAGTAAACGCCACAATATTTTGAAATATAGTGGCGTTTATAATCCATACGTTGCCAAATGACAATATAGCGACATTTCTTCAAAAAATGCCGCAATAGAGTGGTAATTTAGCGGAGTTTATGGCACAAATGCCGGTATAGAGTTATTTATAGTAGCGTTTTATCAACAAACGCCGCAAAAGAGTAGTCATTTAGCGGCGTTTGTATAAAAACGCAGCTATTGAGTATTAATGGTGCGACGTTTTTTTATAAACGTCGCAATATGGTTGTTTTTAGTGGCGTTTTATGTACAAACGCTGCAATATAGTGACATATAGTGGCGTTTTAACAAGAAACGACAATAGAGAAGAAATTTTATGGCGTTTTAGGCCAAACGCCACAATATATCAGTAATTTAGTGGCGTTTATACCTCAAACGCCGCAATAATTAATACTTTCGCGTCGTTTTTAGACAAACGCCACAATAGTATTAATCAATAGTGGCGTTTTTTATAAACGCCGCAAAAGTATGTGATATAGTGGCGTTTTTTTAAAACGTCGCAAAATGTTAAATATATGGTCCTCTTTTTCTCTTACCTGAACCCTAAAATCATTTCAACTCTTCTTCCCTCAAACTTTCTTCTCTGGTACAACAACAGGCTGAGCACGATTCCAAGTGACGTCGTCTTTTGAAAGCCACGGCGACCAAATCTACCCTCTGATTGCAAAGTTGAAACAGTTATGGGAAGGGGTAATTTATTTTGTTGTTAGGTTTTATTTTGCATAACTTGTGGGTTAATTAAAATGTATATTTGTTAATTAGATAAAGCTACATATATCAGTCAGTTTAGCTGATGTAGAGTAGAAATTAAATATGTAAAATCATTTTTATCTAAATAAAGGTAATTAGTGCCACATATAGCGGCATTTTTTAATAAACGCCGCAACAGATTAGTACTTTAGCGGTGTTTCGAGAAAAATGTCGTAATAGGGTTAACATATAACGACGTTTTGGTATCAAACGCCGTAAATAATTCGGACTTTAGTGGCGTTTTGATAGAAAATGCCGCAAATTTTTTTATTTAAACGTCATTAACTTTAGACATATAGCGGCGTTTTTTAATAAACGTCACAATAGATTAGTACTTTAGCGGTGTTTTGATAAAAAACGCCGCAAATGATTCGTACATTAATGGCATTTAGATAAAAAAACGCCGCAAATGTTTTTTTATTTAAACGTCATTAACTTTATACATATAGCGGCGTTTTTTAATAAACGCCGCAACAAATTAGTACTTTAGCAACGTTTTGACAAAAATGTCATAATAGGGTTCATATATAGCGATATTTTGGTAACAAACACCGCAAATGATTCGTACATTAGTGGCGTTTAGACAAAAAAATGTCGCAAATATATTTTATTTAAACGTCATTAACTTTAGACATATAGCGGCGTTTTTTAATAAACGCCGCAATAAATTAGTACTTTAGCAGCGTTTTGACAAAAACGTCGTAATAGGTTGCACATATAGCGGCGCTGTAGTAACAAACACCGTAAATTAACGATACATTTATGGTGTTTTGACAAAAAACGCCGCAAATGTTTTTAACATTAGTTGCGTTTATAATTAAAAACACCGCAATTGGTTATCCTTCAGTGGCGTTTGTATTGTTAAACGCCGCAAAGTCTGTTTTAATTCACCATTTGCCCTAGCCATTTTTCCATCACGATTTTCCTTTCCATCTCATTCACTGCTGTCCTTCACTACGCCCAGCATCCTTCGCCTCCAACGTCATTGCTTCCAACAATCTTCGGTCGAGAACTAAAATCCAACCCAACATTTCTTAACCCTTCTTCCCTTGTTTCCCTTCAATTTCTCTCTGATTTCAGACTGGGGAAAAAATTACGCGACGAAAACGAGAAGCTTTTCGCGATACCCAGGTTAGGCTTTCTTTCTCTTAGTAGTTGATTCAAAGGGCATGCATGTAATGCATAGGTTGGTTGCAGTGACTAGTGAAAATTGATCCATTTTCACATGTTAATCACACTTTGACTTTATTTTAACCAATTAAGGGTTGTGAGACTCGATTATAGTTTTCTGGTTCTTGCAATGGTTTGTTTTGTTATCATTACGACAAAGATGCTAACAATGTTCGAATTCATAACTCTTCCCAGAAACTGCGTTTTATGTTGTCTGGTTTGAATAAATTCTTTTCTTTCCCTATTCTTTAGCAGCGTTTTCTTAGAATTTATATCAGGTAGATCCAAAAATAGGTACTACAAGAAAGACCACATTATGCAGGCCAAGAATGAAATCAAAACTCAAGGAGAGGTATAATGTAGGGATGAACATATGCTTTCTTCCTGAGACGGAAGATGTGGTTTGAAAGTCATGAGTATCATGATATTTCAGAATATGGCATGTTGAAACCCGGTTCTAGGTGCAGTTTTGTGCATCATCATTTGTCCAATATTTGTATGGGACTCATTTCCTCATTAGCTTAAACCTTGCTTTGAACCTCATTTTGCAAGAGTGCTTATTTACTTTACGAATGGTGTATTTTCTTGTATTATATTTGTTGTTATATTTGTTGTGCTTGTGAATGCATAAATTAATGTTACCTGTGCAAATGCTTAAAGTCTTGTTAAATACAAAAAATTTAGAACCCTGGTAGTGTTCCTCCTGCAACATCAAGGCTTTCACCCCTCCCTCCTGAACCATATGACCATGGTGCAACCGTAGATATTCCTCTTGATTCTGCCAAGGTATCCTAAAAGTTTCCATATGTTGAATGGCCAATTGTCATGTTTCTGGATATTATGTTTAAGCAAAAGACTTCTTTTGATATTTTTGTCTTGTCAAATCTAGGATTTGAAAGCTAGAGAGAAGGAACTTAATGCAAAAGAGCCTGAACTGAATAAGAGGGAACAAGTAATTTGTTATCATCTGTTTGCACTCGGGTGAGGCTTGCCAATGAATAATCAATTTGGTTCTTCCAATTTATTGTTTTTGGTATCATTTGTTATAAGTCATCCCTTTTGCATTAAAGTTCCAAATTATACACATTTCTGATGCAATTTAATTATTGCTATTTGCTCACAGAAATTGAAAACTGTAGTTTTGACTCTAAATTTCTGTTTAATTGTTTTATCTGTCTCAATGCTTGTAAAATATCTTTTTTCTGAATTCTTTTCCTTTTTGTTATGAAAATTCTAAATTATGCAATGACTTGATCCTTGAATGTTCTGATGCAATATGTAATTGTGTTATCTGTCAGGTGGTTTTACAATTCATATGCTTTCAGAAGAAATTATGCTCATAGTAACTAAATGTTATCTTTATATTTTGCAGGAATTGAAAAGGAAGGAGGATGCAATAGCACGAGGTAGGTTCCTTTTTCCCCGTTTTATCTCGATAACTTGTTTATTGCCAGGTAAGCTTGATTTTAACATATGTTCATGCCTTCTTCTTGGTAGCTGGAATTGTAATAGAGGAGAAAAATTGGCCACTATTTTTTTCCTATTATCCATCATGATATTGCAAATGAAATACCAATCCACCTGCAAAAGATGCAATATGTTGCTTTCACAACATTTTTATGTGAGTTCAAGTTCAGGTTTTTATGTTTCTTTCTTACATCATAATATTACTCCTATTATCCATAATGATATTGCAAATGAAATACTAATCCACCTAAAATAGATGTAATATGTGGCTCCTATTATCCATTGTTATATTTCTTTTGTGAGTATTTCTTGAGGTATTTTTTTATTAATAAAGTTGTGGAACTTGAAGTTTTACAGCAGCTTGCCTGAGTTAATAGCTCACTACATCCTGAATTCCTTATGGCGAATTTTGATCCTCTTAAACCTTCATCACTGAATCTTGCTTTCTTTTCGAAAAGCCTGACTAAAAATAGATACTTCAAGTAACAGTTTCTTACTTGCCTAGCCGTGTTGCAATTATCATGGTAGTCTGGTTCCTCTTGTTCCTGATGTTTATAAAATTTCTTTGATTTGGTGTAGAGATTTGATTTCAATAAGTATGTTGACATAAACTCTAGAAGACCATCCTGACGCTGCCCACATTGCAATCAACATGTTATGTGTGACTTGTACAATTTTATATTAAAACAAGCAGGGGAGAATGTATACACTAACTAACTATATACCAACTCTTAGTTTCAGAATCGGTTTACGTAAACCTTGCTTGTCAGTGATTTTTTATTGTGGATGAAAGTTACTTATATTGAACTGATTTTTAATTAAAGCTGAAATGATTATAGCTCTTATTGTTGGTTGTTTGTATATAACTTTGCACATGTGACCAAGGGAGGTGTTAGAATGTTTTGATTGTGGGGTCAATTTGTTAATGTTAGTCCTGTACTGATGTTAGATAATCATTTGTGTTTGTGAATTCAGGATTTTTAAAGCTCCAAATCAGTGAATACTACATTTATGAACCCTTTGTTTGCACTTGTCTACTATTTTTTTCTTGAAAGGTTAATTCATGATTTGATCTAAATTTTATATATACTTATCTAATTTTTTAGTAGGTTGATTATAATTGTTCGAGATGTCCAAATAATCAAAAAGACTCTTAGATGATTAGAATCAATCCTAATTAACCAACTCACCATGGCAAGGATAAATGGACGTTATATCTTCATAACTTGTTGTTAGGTTATTTTATTATTTGTATTTAAATCTCTCCACAATTAAAGATAAGAATATTTTAATTATCAATATAAAGATTTAGTAATTTTTAGATTGATTAGTTCATACAGTACAAATGATTGTATAGAGTTCTAATAAAAGCATGAAAGTCAAAACTATTGTTTAGGAAAAGGAAAGGTGACTAATTGTCGGGGTTGAAAGGTTTGATCGAAAAATGTTTAGGTCAGGGGTGACTCTCTCAGTTTAGGGTCAGGGTATATCTAAGACCTAATTGGAATTTATTCTAGAATTTACAGATTATCCACAAAGAGAGACGGTGATAGAATTCAATGTAATGTTTCTGTTTAGGTTCTAAATTTATCTATAATATTAGCAATTAACATTTGAATTTGAAACTCCAGAAATACGAAATGGATAAGAGTTGGATGGATTTCTCAAGGGTAAGCGTCGAATATCGAAATGGAGTCGAAAAATTTCTAAATTTAGTTTTTCTGAATGCAAGCCAATAGAATATGATTCTTTTCCCTTGTAAGAACTATGTTAACATTAACTAGAACATTCTTGAAGTTGTGTACGAGCATCTAGTTATTTTTGGATTTGTTCGGGGGTATAGAAAATGGATCTTTCATGGAAAGTTTGTATCAGATAGATATGCTTCCACGAGTTATTCGACTTATCCTTCTCCTTCTCAACATCCAACTTTTAGAGAAGATGACATGGAAGGGATGTTACGAGATGCATTTAATATGCACACTCATAAGCCATATGTTACAGAAAATTATTGTCAGAATGATGTTAATGATTTCATTGAGATGGGAAGAATTGGAAGTGCTGAAGAGCCAAATGGAGAAGCGGCAAAGTTTTACAAGTTGCTGAATGAAATGAATAAACAACTTTATAAGGGATCAAAGTTTTCAAGGCTTTCTTTTTGCATTCGTCTTTTCCACTTAAAATGCCTGGGAGGGTGGACTGGTAACTCATTTACGCAATTGTTGGAGTTACTAGGAGAAGTGTTTCCTTTTGCAAAAATCCCTCAATCATGCAAAGATATGAAGAAAATGATAAAAGATTTGGGTCTTGGATATACCAAAATTCATAGTTATCCGAATGATTTTATGTTGTGTTGGGGTGATCGAAAAAATCAAGACTCTTGCCATGTTTGTGGAAAATCTCGATGGATTATTAGAGAGGAAGAAAATGTTACTGAGGATGAAGCTCAAGCATGATCAAGAAAGAAATCAATTAAGATTCTGTGATATTTTCCTCTCATACCTAGACCACAAAGATTATTTATGTCCTCCAAGACTTATGAGTCTATGAGGTGGCATCATGATGGCAGAACCGATGATGGATTATTACGGCATCCAACGGATTCTTTAGCTTGGTAGTCATTTGACAACAAGTATCCAAGTTTTGCGAGAGATCCTCGAAATGTCAGGCTCGGTCTTGCAACTGATGGGTTTAATCCATTCAAAATCATGAGTACTTCGTATAGTACTTGGTCTGTTGTACTTGTTTCATACAATTTGCCTCCCTGGATTTGCATGAAACAATCATCTTTCATCTTATCCATGATAATCCTCGGTGAGAAAGGCCCTAGAAATGATATTGATATTTACATGCAGCCACTAATTGCAGAGTTGAAACAGTTATGTGAAGGGGTCGAAACGTACGATGTGTTGACGAATGAGAACTTTAATTTACACGCGACTTTATTATGGACAATTAATGATTTTCTTGCGTATGCAAATTTATCGGGTTGGAGTACCAATGGTCGTTATGCTTATCCTTGTTGTGCTATAGAAACATGTTCGAAGTGGTTGATTAATGGAAAGAAGTTCTCTTATATGGGACATCTTCGGTGGTTACCTGATAATCATAGATTTAGAAGTTAAAAGAATATGTTTGATGGTGATGACGAGTTTCGAAATGCTCCTGACCAAACAACCGACTCTCAAATATTCAGAATGTTGAAAAATATCAATTTTACTTATGGAAAGATGAATCAACCAAGTAGTGCACGATCAAAGAAAAAGGCAAAGCAAGTCAATGAAAAGGTTGAAGTTGATGAACAAACTGATGATGAGTCTGATGAAGAGGATAATCCAAACGAGGTAGACTTGTGGAAAAAGAGGAGTATATTTTTCGAGTTGCCTTATTGGAAAAAGCAGATTTTGAGACATAATCTTGATGTAATGCATATTGAGAAGAATGTTTGTGAGAATATTATCGGGACCATTATGAATGATGACAGAAAATCTAAAGATAATATTAAGAGTCAACTTGACTTAGTGGACATGGGAATTCGGCAAGATCTTCATACGCAATTACGTCCAAATGGAAGAAATTTCTTGTCGCCTTCTATTTTTTTCTCTTTCGAATAAAGAAAAAGAAGTGTTTTGCACGGTGTTGAAGGATATAAAAGTCCCAGATGGGTATGCATCAAACATTTCTCGATGTGTTAGTGTTAAAGATCGAAGACTTTATGGTTTAAAGTCACATGATTATCACATATTAATGCAAGATTTACTGCCAGTAGCTGATCGCGGTTGCATGTCGAGTAAGGTGACGTCTTGTATCATTGAACTTTCTAATATAATGAAAGTCATCTGTGGGAAAGTTCTAATGGTTGAAGAACTTGATAAACTACAAGATCGAGTCGCCTTGACTTTATGCAACTTGGAGAAGATATTTCCACTTTCATTTTTCACAATTATGGTGCATCTGCTAATTCATCTTCCTCACGAAGCAAGAGTTGGTGGTCCAGTTTTCTATCGATGGATGTATCCTATAGAGAGGTGTTTTTTGAATTACACGTTTCAAATTACTACTGATTATACCTCTCACTCAAATTTATTTACGTAGTATTTTTTTGTGTATAGGTTCTTGGGCAAGTTGAAGTCTTATTATCGTAATAAGCGTTATCCGGAAGGATAAATTACTGAAGGGTATTTTGCAGAGGAATGTATGACATTTTGCTCTAGATATTTGGAAGATGTTGAAACAAGATGGAATAGACCAAATCGAAATGATGTGTTAAGTACTGATGACTTACCTCAACATTATTTCTTTGGAAGTTATGGTCAACCATTAGGGAAAGTTGAAATTGCACACTTAGATTACACGTCTTGGGTACAAGCACATCGATATGTTCTTTTCCATCACGATTCAATAGATCCCTTTCGCACATAAGTCTTTCGGACCCAATCCTAATGAAATCTCTTTATCTTTTATATTTATCAATTTTTAACGACATAATATTCTTTATAGTGAGTTTAAAGAAGTATTGAGATCTCGAGCACGATCCCGAAGATTAAATCAGCGAGAGCTACATAAGTTATTCACATAAACTTTTCATGAATGGCTAGGCCAGATAGTAAGCAACTAAATCTTATGGAACACTTATAAATTATATACGTCTTGCTTTTTATATCGACGTCAATGCAAATTAATTCACCATTCATGTGCAATAGGTTTGGAGTGGGAGAGAAGTTAGTGAAGAAGTTAAATGGCTTTCTCAAGGTCCGAATAGAATAGTTAAAAGATATAATGTCTTCCTCATTAATGGGTTCAGGTTCCACACAAAATCTCGTGAAAGATTAAGAAGGACACAAAATTGTGGAGTCGTAGTTACTTCGTCAACTACAAGTTATACTACTGTAAGGGACAATAATCCGCAGGAGGGAGAGGTCGATTATTATGGAAATCTTACGGACATTATTGAGTTAGATTATTATGGAAAACGAAAGGTTGTGCTATTTCGGTGTGACTGGGTTGGTGTAAACAAATGTATAAAAGGAGATAAATTCGGGTTTACAATGGTGAATTTCTCTCGATTAATTCACAAGGGTCAACGTTTGATGGATGAACCATATGTATTTTCTTCTCAAGTGAAACAAGTATTTTATTGTCACGATCCAATGGATGACAGTTGGTATGTTGTGCTTCAAAATACTCATAGAGACTTGATAGACATCGGGGATGGAAGTAAAGATGACGTTGAAACACGATCAGAAAGTTTACCTCTACTACCACAAAACTTAGATGAAACTATCAATAATACAATACAATTTCAATGGGTTCGGGAGGACGTTGATGAAGATATTTATGACAACTGACATTATATAAGACTTTTGTACGATTTTATATCTTCATTTATTTATTTATAATGTTATAACCTTTAACATGTTGTCTTTCAATATATTCATTAATTAATTCATTTTTGTATTACTCATGTTTGTTTATTATAGAAATCATGCCGAGGAGAAAAATAAATAATTTGCGGATTGTTCGAGCTTCTGAAGACCATGAAGAAAGAAATAACGAGGAATTGAATGCACCTGAGTCTTCCGAAGTTCCGGAAACTGTTGAATAAGACATAGAAATTCAAAGTAATCTTCGAAACATTATTTACTACTTTGTTCATTTTCAAAACTAGCATTTAATAATTTCTTATATAGTTGAAAATGTTGGAACGCGCAAGACTCGAGGACGTACAACTTTGAAGGAATTATACCAACTTCCTCTTGGGCATCATGTCAAAGTTTCAAGAAACAATGACGGTCAACCTATTGGCCCATAATCACGTCTTCTAGCAGGTTACTTATGCATAGTTGGACGTAATGCGAATCTGTTACCGATCAATTACGAGTCATGGCGCGAAATGCCTAATAGTAACAAAAATCAAGCGTTGGATTTTGTTAAGGTAATAATGTCATTATGATACATACTCTATAGAAATTCAATACTAATTTATACTTACGGTTCACACTTATATGCTGTATAGGAGAAATTTTCGTTAGAGGTCTTTGACGTTTATGTGAAGCAAACGTTAGGGAAGAGATGGAGGGATCACAAGAGCTCCTTAAAGAAGAAATACTTAAAGAATGATCTCAGCCTTGAAGAGAAGTTGCAAACAGTCCCACCAGGAATGCTCAGGTACCAATGAGAAGATGTAGTCAGATTTTGGAGTTCACAAAAAGGACAGGTATGATGTATTTTTCAGAAATAATTGTAACGAATTGTAAATCGTCATTAAAAGTGGTTGTTTGACATTGTAGGACCGAGAGCATATTGGTGTTGCTAGCAGGCAATAACAAAAGTTTATGCACATGGCTGGATCGAAGAGTTTTGCTTGTATAGCTCATGAGGAGGTATTATAGATTATTGAAATAGTTTTTTGTATTCCATGTACATACTAACTCGTAGTAATTATATTATGGTAAATTGTAGGAAAATACATCCGGTTCGAAAGTTGGTCTAATCCAACTCTTCGATTTGACACATACGAAAAAGGATGGTACTCCTATGACTGCTGACGCTGCAGAAATTATGGTACATTTTTTGGGTAGATGTTTTAAATTTACCTGACTTTATTTATATTTGTACCATGACATTTTTTATTTTAATTAATTATTCACTTTATTAGGAAAAATTGAGGGAGAAAAAGGCGGAGTATCATGTTACTGCTTCGAGTCAAGGTATTGTTAATGATGATGACATTAAAAACCAAGCTATTAATGACGTATTGGGTCCTGAAAGATATGGTCGGGTGCGCTGTCAAGGATCATTCGTTACTCTCACCAAATATTTTGGATCCAGTTCATCACAATATATGTCATCATAGTCTCGATCTTCCCACCAAGAAGTTTGTCGTTTAAAAGAAAAGTTGGCTGAGATGGATCAACAAATGGCTAACTTGAAAGCAGAAAATGAAGCAAGGGAAGCAGAGAGAGAGCAGCAGAAGCAGCCAGAGCAGTAGCAGAAGTAGAGAAAGAAGCAGCGGCAGAACAGAGAGAAGCAACATATCAGCAAAGATGTGAAGAATTTGAAAAACGACTCAATGATATGATGTTGATGATTCAGAAAACGCAACCTCAGAATCCACCATCGTAGTCTCATTTATGTAATGAGCATTCTACTGAACCTTGTGTAACTGAACTTATATTACGTTAATGAAAACTTTTATTTATTATATTGGATTTGATGTTGTTTGTTATGGATATAGAGTTTGATGTTATTATTGTTTTGTTTGTTGGATAATGGAACAGGTTGAAAAAATAGTTTTGGGGTAATCAAGCATAATTTTTAGGATTGTTAAATTCTGTGTTATTTAACGGCGTTTGTAAAAAAAACACTGCAATATATCATACATTTAGCGGCGTTTCTAGGCTATATACAGACCTTAACGCCGCAAAACATCAACACCTACTGCGGCGTTTGTGAGAAAAACGTCACAAAATATCAACACCTACTACGACATTTTAGATAAAAACGCCGCTAAACATCATAACCTATTACGACGTTTGTCTAAAAAACGTCGCTAAATATCAACACCTATTGCGGAGTTTTTATGATAAACGCCGTTAAATATCAACACCTATTGCAGCGTTTGTGTGACAAATGCCGCTAAATATCAATACATATTGCGGCATTTTTTGTTAAAAAAATACCGCGAACTTTAACGACACTATTTTTAACGACGGTTTTCGTGGTGTTTGCCTTAACGCCGTATGTATTTTTAACGACGCTTATAAATATCGCTAAAGATAAAAAAAAAAACCGTAAAAAATCTATTTTGCTGTAGTGACCATTTATGCACTTTATGCAATTATTATATGATATATTGATTATGAAGTTTTCTACTCTACAAATTAAATTAAGAATATAATATTGGGGAAAGGTATAGGAAGTAGTGCAGTGTGAATATATACAGAGAGCATGTAGGACCCAGGAGCAGCTGTTAAGTAGCTATTTCCCTCTCGAAAAGGGGAAAAATCCTAATAATTTCCAGAAATTTATTAACTGTACAAAATTGTGGAGTACTGTTAGGTAGATTTGTCAGAAGTGCCATTATTAAGGCTCTGTGTTTGGTTATTCATTTATTTTTCTCTTAGAAATTTTAGGATTTTTTCCCTTTAAACCCCATTAATGCAGCATGTCGCCGTTGCAGCTGCATGAAGTTTCTCCTTCCCATTATTAGAGTTATGCTACATATATTTGAATATCTAAATAAGATAGGATGTAATAATACAATTTCATGTTGAAATTATTTAGATATTGTATTTGAGTTTTTTACTTTTAAAAGTATTATACATTTGTTTTTATTTTTTTAATCTATTATATTTGTTATAGTAAAAATAAAATTGGTCGAATTACAAACCGGTGTCAATGTCCATTTATTTATTTTTAATTAAAAATTAAATATTGGTATACTTCCCAATGCCCTAGCCTCACGTCTGCACTCGCTGCCCAGCACCACTGGAGTACTTTTTTAGATAATGTGTTGGATTTTTTCATTGGCTCAAATAATGGTCACTTGGAATTATTTTCAGAAATATATTTTTTACTACAGGACAATTTAATAGGGGTGTATTCGATTCGATTCGGTTCGGTTTTTTACCAAAAATTGAACCGAACCGAAATAAACGGTTTTTCAATATTTAAACCGAAACCGAAATCGAATAGTTAAAAATTTGAAAAAATCAAAACCGGTTTTTTCGGTTCAGTTCGGGTTTTTTAACGGTTCGGGTTTTTCGGTTCGGTTTGGTTCGGTTTTTCAATGAAAAAATCACTTGAAACTATAATTTTTTTTACAAAAATTACCTATTCGGTTCAATATGGAACAAATGGGTTCCATATGGAAAACCCGAACCGAACCGAATCAAAAAAATAAAGCCTTTAAACCGAACCGTTTAAAGCCAAACCAAATCGAACCGAACCGTTTTACTCGGTTCGTGTCAGTTTTTCGGTTTTCTCGGTTTCGTTGTTCACCCCTACAATTTAAGATGCATGAGGCAATTCTAATATAATTTCAGGGGAGAAGTATGGAGTGTAATTTGTATCTCTTATTTTATTTTTTGAGGTTTTAAGGTTTAAGATTTAAATGTTACGGTTTAGGTATGATTTAAGGGTTATGATTAAGATTTAGAGTTTAAGGTTCAAGATTTAAGATTTGCATTTAATTTTGATTATTATTGCAGAAAGAAAAAGGAAAAAAGAAAAAGAAAATTGGAGCACAATGTGTCTCCCAATTAGAGTCGCATTATGTTCTTTGCGTTTTAGGAATGCTATATTCTTTGCGTTTTAGGAATTACTATAGCATATGCATTATTGGAATAAAATAATTTTGGTCCATCATTATTCGAACAATTTTTTTCCATGTCGTACTGTAAAAAATTAGCCCGCCTCCGCCCTCATGCTTGCACCCGTTGCCCATTACTTATGATGAAGAGTGAAGTCGGTATGTATTTATGCTTACATTGAATTTTTAATTGAAAAAAGAAATGAACAATGAAGTCAGTATGTAATTTGGTCGACTTCACTTTTACTTTAACAAATACAATAGATTATTAAATAAAAAGGCTTAATATCAAAATAAGTGTCTGAACTATAACTCAATTCTCGAATAGGTGCCTTAACTATTTTCAGATCCATCTAGATGCCTAACGTTACAAACGTTACTATTTTAGGTTTCCAGACCGTCAACGACGTTAATTTTCCCGTTAAGTGACACATGACACAATCTAATAATTTTTAAAAAAATTATTAAAAATTAAAATTATATATATTAAAGAAAAACATAAACATTTTGAAATAACTCCAAAACTTTGAAAACCTTCATTTCAAGCCCTAAACCCACGGCGATCGTCCCCCTTTGTCGTTGATGAAGCTCCACCCGACCTCATCTCCCACTGACGACCAAAACCCCCATGAAATCGTGACTGGTCGACGACGAATCGATGTTTTATATTCCACGAAACCTAGGATGAAAATCACGATCTCGACTGCAACTACAACGACATATAATTAAGATGATGGTAGGGACTATGTTGGCGGCAGTGGTTGTGGCTGAAAAGCGAGGGGGTTAAGGATAGGGTTTGGGGATTTTAGGTATTTGGGGCTTTTTTTATAATTTAAGAGAAATTAGGGTTTTTATAAATAATATTTTTTAAAAGATAAATTTTAAAATCACCAGAGTGTGACATGTGTCACTTAATGGAGAAATTAACGCCGTTGACGACTCTGACACCTAAAATGGTAACGTTTGTAGTGTTAGGCACCTGGATGGGTCAAAAAATATTTAAGGCACCTATTCGAGAATTGAAGTATAGTTTGAGCACTTACTTTGGTATTAAGTCAAATAAAAACTAATGTGTAATATTTTTGAAATTAGAAACCCAAATGCAATTTTTGGGTAATTTAGCCATTTCATGGTATATACATATAAATAATATTAATTAAATTTAAGTGCATTAATAAAATATAATAATTTTAAATTTAATTAATATTGAATTTCAAATTCAATTTTAAACAATTTCTCACTTTTTCTTATAAAAATGAAGATTATATACCTTATAACAAGGAAATATTTAAGTAATAATGAAAATAAATCAAGATTATCATTATATGAGCATTTAGGGTTAATTTAGTAAAACCATGCATAAGTTTTGGAAACATTTGGAATTTTAAGAGATTGTGGTAAAAAAAACATGGGATTTGATATAAAAATCAAGCAAAAAGAATGGAAGGACACTAACCGGGTCTATAAAATCCAATTTTCTTCTATCTTTGCGTTACAGGTACCCGATTAGTGTTTTAGAGATCTATTTCAAAGATTTGGATTATCCAAAGTATTTTAAAAAAATGTTTTTTTAAAGCACACAACCAAGTTTAATTAGAAGAATAAAGATTTACGTTACGCTAGAGTTCATATACTTAAAATATTATTAAATTATGACATGCAAAAATATTAAGTACAGATAATTAAAATCAGAAAAAAATTCTCGTGAATTTAAAATTTAAATTTAACTAAGTATTTTATTTTTATAATTTTATATATTTCAATTGAGTTTGTGTTAGTCAAGTTGATGTTGAGATTATTATAATCAATTCAATAAAAATTCAAAATAAAAATTTATGTAAATTTACTAAAATTTATAAGCACCATTTTTATTCCCTACTTATTATTAAATATCATTAAATAAATGAAACCCATTATTAAATATATGCAACCGAAGTCCAATTAAAAAACAGTCCTCTTATAAATGAAATTCAAAGTTCCATTATAAACTCGTTTATATATTGTATAGCCAATCATAATTCTAAAAACCAAACGTTATAATTCAGACCCACTGCAGACCCAATAATAATCAACTCAACTGAAGCCCGTCAAAGGAGAAACTCATATACAAACTCAAATCAGATTATGGTTTGTTTGAATCCATGGGTTGCATCCGCTTCCCACTGTTGGATATGGAAACAATCAAGGGTTTAGATCGCTTCAAACTTTATCTAGGGTTGGAGAAACCTTAGAGAGCCCCCGCCTCATGCATGACCTCCGCCGTCAGGTCAGGAGAGGACCATCCAATGGCTGAGGAATGTCTAGAGAGCTAGAGACCAATTGTCTCTGGCCGGTAGAAGTGAGGAGCATGCACATCGATTAGTATTCTCCG